AGTCCTGCCTAGGATACAATCAGGGGATGGGAATGGGAATGGAAGCTTTTAGGTAAAATCAATAATCTACACGTCTTAAAATCCTTTTTTCCCCTTTTAACTGCTTTGTTCCTACTACTAAAACAAACAATATTTTGGTTTTAAGAAGGCTGTCTCATTGTATACAACAAACTACAGCCTGCCTAAGGGAAGGACTGTGCAGGTACCCAAACACTGTCAGCCCTGCAGGGCAAGCCTGGTTTATAGACCAGGCTTTGAGCTTCTGTACACTGTGGGGAATGTAGTCAAAGATCAGAAGTGCAGCTAGTCGCATAACCATGACACCAAGATTTTCAAAAGTGACTAATGATTTTTAGTATACAACTGGGGACACCTTTTAAAGGAGCCAGGTTTTCAGAGGAGAGGTGATTGACCCTTTCTAACAATTTGGACCTCTTAAGGTCTCAAGTTAAATAATCAGAATTACTAGGAAAATCAAAAGCTTCTGAAAATCTTGGCCTTCGGTATCTTCTGCTCTCCCCACAACCACTCACCCCGCAAAGCCCACCAAGGTCAACAAATTGAAAGAAACATGAAAGAAACAAACCATTTTAGAGATATAAGCCAAAATTTAAATTTCCAGACTAGATGAGATGTAGTATGTGAAATTTGAGGAGGATTAACTTTTTTCGGGGGAAGCTGTGGGGGAGAGAGAAGGGATTTAAAATCAGGCTTGTAATTGAAAGCTAGCCCAAACTATGCAGTGGTTACTGCCGATGAAGTGAGCTGTAGCTCACGAAAGCTTATGCTCAAATAAATTGGTTAGTCTCTAAGGTGCCACAAGTACTCCTTTTCTTTTTACTCCATAATAAGCTCACCTTATCTGTCTCTCCCAAAATTTCAAAGAATAACAAATAATGTGGTTTTTAGAGAGAGCTTCTAACTAAAATTCTCAGTGACGTATGAAAGTTTGCCAAACCTGTTTACGTAAGCCACAAAGATTTCATAAACGTTTACAATGAAAATAAGATTCATAAAATGACCAATAGAAAACTACGGTGCAACCCAAGCTCCTCATAAATCTTGCCCTTTTCCTGTCCCTAGCCTTCCCATATCCTGGCAGCACAATTTTAAGCCCCATCTCACCCTTTGTCTATTCATTATCAAATGCTCAAGGTGCAACACCTCCTCCTTTTACCGTTGATTCATTTCTTCTGTTGTGGAATCGCCTTAATAATAGCCACCAGTTCCAATTACTTAAATAAAGCAATAATATTTGACACAGAAAATACAGAAAAGTAAATAGTATAGAACAAAAGAATACTAAGCTATCCTATATTACATTACCTTTTCTATAAGTGTTTTCTCCTTTCCTTGAGATCAGTAAGTAGTCTCCTTCATGATTGCTTTATTTGGGGTTTATCCGTTTCTTCCTGTCTGGCTTTAAGGAATGCAACATCAGGGAGAAGGAATTTTTGTGATCTGATTCAGTCCATACCCCCATTAAATGATGGCTAAACAAATTTTGGATTTTGCCCATTTTCAGCCATTTTTATACATATTTTTATGGCAAGAATCAGTAGCTAGCACTGTTACCTGTAGGTTTAATGTTTCTCTTATTGGACAAGTACTGTTCAGTCTTGAAGAAATGCTGCTACTATTAGTTTTGCAATGGTTTTTTGGGAGGAGCTGTTGCAAGCAGCAGGAAAGTTTGATCTATCTCCGTGTCTCTAACTAGTCAATTTTGGGGTTAGAGTTTCTCTCTGGGTATTGGTGAAAGAAGGGGTTGCTTGTGTGCTGCTTGACTGCCTTTGTAGTGTAAATTGGTCTTAGAGGAGGGCATATAAATCCTCTATTACTGTAATTTCTGATCACCTCAGTCTTTGACGTATTGATTTCATACGGTGTAAATTAAAATAAGTTACCCCATTTAAAATACTTAGATTCTGCATTACTGATTTCTTGTATAAGGGGAAACCAACATGGAAGTCCCTGAAATCTGCTACTGCACATCACATTCCCTAACTCTGTGGAATTCATTCAGCATCATACTTCTTCAAGTAGAAGTAGTCTTAGCAGAACTCAATTTTTAAAATTTTGGTAGATAATGTAGGTTTAATTTTAAGCATTTTTTTTTTTTTTTTTAAAAAAAAACCTACTTGAATTAAATGTTCACAGTTGTGGGAAGTTATGGGGGAGGACAATTATTTAATGCCTATGAACAGTGAGATTTTAAAAGTTAGAGCTTTCTAACCGTTCAGACACAAACTGTCCATACCACCTGTTTAAAAAGTACAGTGACTAGCCTTCAGTTAAACTTGTGTCCTCAAGCAGCATTTTGCTTACTTTGCCTGTCCTACATTTTGATGGGTGCAGACGAATGTATTTTTTTGAGCCCTGTGTGTGAAATTTAAATTCACTGACATTTGCCCACATTTACCATACAAATCTCATCCTTCCAAGCCCGGCTAGGAGGCCCCAGCCCAGCCCCCAGGAGAGTGAGTCCCTCTCCCCACAACTCCCCCTCCACAACACGGATGTAGCATGGCTGACATGAGGGGGATTTGAGTCTAACTCTCCCTGACTCCTAAGGCGTTAGAAACGAAGGTGGCTCCCCAAAACTGGCTCTGCGGGGTGACCCCCCCCCACTCCACGGGCGGCGGGTCAGCAGCTCAAGCATCGTTGCGAGTTCAGTTTCGCTGGGTCCGTGCTGCTGAGGCAGAGGCGCTCGCGCTCCGGCGGGGGCGGAGGCAGGCCAGGCGCTGAGCTGCGCGCGGGCCTCTCTGGGGGCGTGGTCCCTGACGGGAGGACGGGGGGAGGCTGCGCAGAATAGGACATGGACGCTCATGGTAACCAAGCAACTGGGGGTGGGGCTCACTGTTTCTTTAAGGGCGAGTCGAGTGCCTATCGCATGGATGCGGCTCTAAGCTCGGCGCCGCGCTCACAGGGGTGGATGGGGCCCTTGGCAAGGCGGGGGCTACTGCAAGGGGGGGTCGAATTCGGGGCTCGGCTAGTCGGGTCTGGAGCGCGGGGGTTTTGACTGCGCCGCGGGGCGGCCGCTGGCGCTGCAAGGCAGGGGATCGCAGCGCCTGGCGCGGGCGCGCTGGGCCGCTGTCCTATGGCGTCTGTGCTGGTAAGGGAGCGGGCGGGCCTGGGGGAGACGCTGCCCGCCGAGCGCCGCTTCTGGGGCAGAGGAAAGGGAGGGACCCGGCAGCTCTGCTGTGCGCGCTGGGAGGGGCGGGCCTCCCGCTGACTGCGCTGACGGAGCCCCGGGCAGCCGCCCGCCAGGCCCCGAACTGATGAGCGTGTCTCCAGCCGGGCACCAACCGGCGGAGCCCCCCGGGGTCCGCGCCTTCTGGCCCTGCCCCATGCGCTGCCCCTTCTCCACCGGGACCTGCTTGTCTCGGGCCGAGCTCTGGGTTCAAGTTGCCCCCTGGGGCGTGCGAGCCAGCGCCGCGGCGTTAGAGCACGTAACCCGGCCACCCGCCGCTCCCAGGGGAGGTGACAAGCCCCGCTAGTGCCCCGTGTTTTCCTCTACTCCTGCTGTTACCGCTAAGGGCAGCTCTCAGGTGTCACGGTGATGGGCGTCTGGGCAGATCGGTGATGGACGCTCCTCAGTGAGCGAACTGGCCAACTGGAAGGGAGCCTGGAGCCCAAAGATAACGGGGGACAGCTTGTCACAGCTCGCTCTGCCAAGGGAAAACCTCTGCCCTTGAAACAGGGAGGGCGGGGGGCGTCCAACAGCTGTTAAAGGGTTTTCGTTTGCGGTAACCAAACCAAAACACATTCAGAACGCCCGTTCACTTTGATTTGTCAGAGGAGAGTTACAGTCCCTTAAAGGGGAGCAGGAGGGTGGCCTTGCATATGATTTGCTATATCCGTCCTGTTTGTTGCACGGCGTTTTTTACTCCCATCCAGGGCCAGATTCCACAGGGGCGGCGGGTTGTTGTTCCGGAACATCTGTGCTATAATAGGGACATTCTGTAGAGCCTGTCTTCTCGGGATTTTTCTCCATGTCAACATCTAGAGACCAGCACCTGTGCCTGGGCCTCTCTTGGCTGACACCGCACTTCTCCGAGTAATGCAACCTTGAGCAGTGTTCTAGCTTTTAGGATGCTTTGCAGTACTCTCCTCCCCCACTATTATAATAATGAAAGTAAGTTTTATTCTGGGCCACCGCGCTGCTGCTTTCCCAGAATCTTTCAATTGTATCTCAGAGAAGCTACCGCCTTTCAATATTAATCTCGGTGTGATCATAACATGGCGAGTTCCGGGTTGACAGAACAAAAATCAGGTGATGACACAAAACTCAGTTCTCAGATATTACAGGTTTCAGAGTAGCAGCCCTGTTAGTCTGTATCCGCAAAAAGAAGAGGAATACTTGTGGCACCTTAGAGACTAACCAATTTATTAACTTCTTCTCCAGGAGGATCCTATCTTAATTCGTCCCTTTAAAGGCCATAAAGCTGCAGTCACCGGCGTTGACTTCAGCCCGAGCACGACGGCACTTGGTGAGTTTGTTACCTTTGTAGCGCGTTACAGTTGCAGGCTTGTGCTGAACGCTTTGTGTAGGATCCAGACGCCCAGGTCCTGCAACGGGACTGTACTCAAGGAGGAGGGAGGGTACAGTGCCGCTGGAGCGCACGGAGGGGGAGGAGCGAGAGGATGGCTACAGGTGGGTGGCCCCTACAGGTTGTTGCTTGGGCAGGAGGCGGTGTTTGCTCTTCGGGATGACTGAGGAAAGTTTCTCAGCGGCTTCCGGAGAAGCGTGCTCGTGTGGCTCCGGGTCTAGCTCCGGTCCCTGGCGGGTGGGGCCGGCGGAGGCGGGGCTGGCGCACAGGGCTGGGGGTGGGGGGGGGGAGGCGTTTCTCTGTGTCGGACGGGCCAAGGGCTCCCTGCCTCTTTTTTAAGCGACAACTTTTTGAGCAAACCAGGGGTCGGAGGGGGAGTGCCCGGGGGAGGGGTTTGTCCCGGGCACAGAGAGGAGGAAGTAAGGCACGAGAGAGCTGGGGCGGGGGCGCTCCGCACAGGAGGCGGGGAGCGGGCGGGCGCGCGGGGTTGGGAAGCAGCTTCGTTGTTTTTTTGCTGCTCCGCATCCCCGCTCCGGACGATATCCGGGAAGAGGACCTGCCGCAACCCAGCCGACCCCTCCCCAGCAGCCTGGGCCCGGAACTGCTGCCTCCCCGCGGAGGCAGCGCTGCAGTAACTTACAGCTCTCCCTGCCCGTTTTAATCGCTTGCAATGAGGATCCATCTGGCCAGAAGATGGACTTGGCTGGGCAGAAGCTGCCTGTTGCTTGGCCTCTTGATGATTGCTTACTTCGTAGTGGAGCTGTGTGTTTCTACCTTCCATGCCTCCTTCACCGGAGACAGCGTCACCAATGGGAGATGGGAGAGGCACTTTTCTGACAGACCAGAAAAAGCAGAGGATTTGGCTCGTCCAGTTTATGAAAAATCCCCTCCTGATTCTTCTGCGCTAGGAGAATGGGGTAAAGCCTCTCGTCCACAGTTGACACCTGAGGAAAAGAAACTAGAAGAAGAGCTGATTGAAAAATATGCAATTAATATTTATTTGAGTGACAAAATATCTCTGCATCGTCACATACAGGACAATCGAATGTATGAATGTAAAGACAAATCTTACAACTATAGAAAACTTCCAACTACATCCGTTATAATTGCTTTCTATAATGAAGCTTGGTCAACCTTACTGCGGACAATTCACAGCGTTCTTGAAACATCTCCTGCAGTACTTCTAAAAGAGATTATACTAGTGGATGACTTGAGCGATAAAATATATCTGAAGGCTGAACTTGAAAAGTACATTAGTAACCTGAAAAGAGTTCGTTTGATAAGAACCAGCAAACGAGAAGGACTGGTTCGTGCACGCTTAATTGGAGCTACCTTTGCTACTGGTGATGTCCTCACATTCCTAGACTGTCATTGTGAGTGTAACTCTGGTTGGCTGGAACCACTTTTAGAGAGGATTGTTGAGAATGAGACTGTGATCGTTTGTCCTGTTATAGATACCATTGATTGGAATACATTTGAATTCTACATGCAGATGGGGGAGCCCATGATCGGGGGATTTGACTGGCGATTGACATTTCAGTGGCATTCTGTACCTGAACACGAACGTCAAAGATGGAAATCTAAAACTGACCCCATTAGATCCCCAACTATGGCTGGTGGGCTATTTGCAGTTAGTAAGAAATATTTTGAGTATCTTGGTACATATGACACAGGGATGGATGTCTGGGGTGGGGAGAATTTAGAACTATCATTTAGGGTGTGGCAGTGTGGCGGCACGTTGGAGATCCATCCTTGTTCCCATGTAGGCCATGTGTTTCCAAAGCGGGCTCCATATGCGAGGCCAAATTTCCTTCAGAACACAGCACGTGCTGCTGAAGTGTGGATGGATGAGTATAAAGAACATTTTTACAATAGAAATCCTCCAGCAAGAAAAGAAAATTATGGTGATATTTCTGAAAGAAAACTACTAAGAGAGCGTTTGAAATGTAAGAGTTTTGACTGGTATTTGAAAAATATTTTTTCCAACTTACATGTACCAGAGGATCGTCCAGGCTGGCATGGAGCTATCCACAGTATGGGAATATCATCAGAATGTCTAGACTACAATTCACCTGAACATAATCCTACTGGGACTCATGTGTCTCTCTTTGGATGTCATGGTCAAGGAGGCAATCAGTTCTTTGAATATACATCGAGTAAAGAAATTAGGTTTAACTCTGTGACTGAACTGTGTGCTGAAGTCCCTGAACAAAAGGATTTCATTGGCATGAGGAACTGCCCAAAAGATAGATCCCCTATCCCAGAAAATATCATATGGCATTTTAAAGAGGATGGGACTATTTATCATCCTCATTCAGGAAAGTGCCTTAGTGCTTATCGTACTTCTGAGGGTCGGCCTGATGTGCAAATGAGGACTTGTAATGCTGCAGATAAAAATCAAATTTGGAAGTTTGAGAAATAAAATGGCCATTGATGATAGTTATTATCTGAAGAACTTCAGAGTAAATTAGTGGCTAGCTATGATTTGATACATGAATTTCCTCTGAGAGCCTTCCCTGTAGTAGTTTAGGAACTGAATCTCCTATGCTGAAGTGTACGAAAGTGGGTTGGCAAATACTGGGAATTAATGTTTAAAAGTGCCTTTGTACTGACTTAAGGTTTTTATTTTTGTAGGGTCTTGATTCATTATTGCTCACATTTCAGTTTATATTTTAGTTTTAGGAAAAACATGACCTGTTTTAGACCTGAAGAGTTCTTACATCAAGTGAAAGAAAATCTATGTTACTTTAGATTAAGGTTAAGAATTTAAATCTAGAGAAGTTAAGGTTCTCACAGCAATGTTTACTTAGCTATATTGCAGATATGTATTATGACATAAATTCACAGAATAAATAATACAGTAGTACATGGCTGAGTTAACATTGGTGTTGGAAGTAGAACCTTAATCCTTAGTCCGTTGTATAATCATCCAGGTGTTTACTTTATTGGGGATCTGCCAACTCCTAAGGGTTTTGAAGAGGTCATATTATTTTTAAAGGAATGAAAGTTTCTATTGCCTAACTACGTGGAAGACAGGAAACATTAGGACTGGCCAGGCTTCATTCCTTAATTCATATCCCCCTCCACATGTGAACACCTCTTCAGTCTTGCCCTAGTTCCTGAAAGCAATTTGATTCTTCAACACCTGCCCCGCCCACCCTAATGCTAGAGGTAGTGGAACTAGAAAGATGGGCTAGCAGTATGAGAATGTTAGCCAGGTGGAGTTTGGGGGGTGGGAAGGGGATGGTTAGGGGTGGGAGACTATTGAGTGTGTGGCTGGCGAGCCCAAAATAGTGGGTAAGAACCTGGTGCATTTATCTTGAGTGTGAGAGAGAAAAGGATGGGTGTCATGTTGATATTTGTCTCTCATCTTTGAATTCTCAGAACTAGTATGCACATTCTGAGTGCTCTAAGCAGTAGCTAGCACTCAATTTCTGGACATTTGTTTATATTCTCAAAACTACCATTATGTTTACATAATCTTTTGCATTCTTTCTTGTGTTTTTTTTTTTCATATATGTAATATTTTATATACCAGTATGTTAGGAGGTAAAGAGGTGCTGTGTGGATAACAACATTAAGGCAGTGGTTCTCCACCTATTTACTGTTGTGGGATGCATATGCAGCTCTCTATGTGTTATGTGGGCCACATTCACTCAATATGTATATGGCCTGTGTGGCCCTGAGGATGTCATATGGGCTGCAACTGTGTACTGATTGGACCTGCAGGCTGCAGGTTGAGAACCATTGCACTAAGGTGTTTGTTTAAATGTGTGACCATAGATAGGATGATCAAATAAAGTTTCTTAGGTGTGTGATCATTGGATTGCATATTCTAGAAAAAGTACAATGCCAGTACCAAGTGTTTTGGGGCCTCTACATGATTCTTCTAGGCACTGGCTTAAGCTTTGGCAAATCCAGGGGTTTTTTTTTCGTTCTGTATTCATCTTGTGCTGTCTATCAGTAGCCACCATATACCAAATCTTGATCTTGGACTGACAGCTCTTACCTTCAGATAGAGAGCCACAAATTAATGACAGAAAGTGAACATAAAAATCTGGGGAAGGTCTAGTGGGATATAGTAGGTGGTGTTGGTTCATTACTCCAGGGCTAGGCAGAAGGGAAAGGAGATGGCTGTTTGGAGGGAGAAAGTGGGGTCGTAAAAGGGCTAGGGACTTTCTAGAAATAATGAGGCAAGAAGGAAAAGGATGTGTGTTCAGAGGTATTTCTAAGAATTTGTGAAGGATTGGAGGGAGGAAGGGAAAGAAGTGACCAGCAAGCTGGGGCAAGAGTTGCTAGGATGGAAGAGTGACTAGATGAGGAAGGTTTCAGAGCAGCAGCCATGTTAGTCTGTATTCGCAAAAAGAAAAGGAGTACTTGTGGCACCTTAGTCTCTAAGTCACCTTAGTCTCCACAAGTACTCCTTTTCTTTTTAGATGAGGAAGATTCTGGATTAGGGGTGTAGTGCAGGGCCATACTAAAAATGATTGCCACTATGTGGTGCTGGGCATTATAAGTCTCTGTAATTTATTTTAACATGACTAATTTGAAATCTGATTTGTATAAATTGATACAGAATAAGGGAATTGTCACATTATATTGATCAGCAAGGCAGTCTTTTGCACATTCCACCAAACCTGACGTGCCAAGGAATACCTCTGCATTCCTCTGTAGACCTACTACTTTGAGAGACTACAGCCCATGACATGCTGAAAGAGCAAGCTTTATATGGTCATATGCATTTGTGAAAGCCTTACCATAAATAAATTTGTTTGAGCATGCACACTTCCAAACGAATTCATGCTTGCATAGGCATCTACCTTGTATGCCATGCATACTTACTGTATTGAGGGAAATGAAGTATTGTGCATGCAGACTATGCAATTTTTATTCAATTCTAACATTTATTATTTTTTAAAAACCTAGCAAACAGTGTGTTCCTTTTGGAGGACTATTTTATGAATTGGAAATTTAAAAATAACTTGTTGGGCTGTCTGAGCAGAAAATAAGAATGAACAAGTTTCTTAAATATTACACTTTTTTCAAGGCACTTATAACTGACAAACAATTCAAGAGAACTTTCTTATCCCATATTTCAGGTTTTTTAAACAGAAAAATAAGACTAAGAATGTAACACTTCTGCCCAATAGAAGCAATTTTTATAATATTATAAAGATCTGATAATAGGAACTTGGAAATGGCAATCTCAACCATAATTGAAGCATTGCTACTGTAATCTTTTAATTCTGTGTACGGATTTCTGGAAAATCTGAAACTCTCCGAAACAAAGGTATAAATATATCTATTTTTAATTCTATCAGTTTTATGAGAATTTTGGGGAAAATAAAATTACTGTATGTGGATTTTAAACTACTGATTTTAAATGATAAAAGGAACTATGTAAATTTAACATTGATTAAATGTAAGCTTTTTGTTGTTGTTTTTGAAAAACAGTAATAAAAATGACAAATGAATGTTGGTTAGTTTTCTGGCTTTTGTTTTGTTTTTGATCTTTGCCACTTATATTAGTGCCCACTACATTTAGAATGAACTCCATCCATAGTATTTTGGCATTTTATAAAGGTTAATAATAATAAACCTCTTTTGCTTAAAAGCCAACCAAGATTCTGAATTTAGGCAGCCTCTCCATCCCTTTGGCAGAAATTTATTTTTCATCAAATAGAAACTCTTTAGAATTACTGTTGTATATGTATTTGCCATTGTAACTAATGATGAGAGAATATTTGATAGAGGCATAGTTGTGTTAATGTTCCCATTTGATTTAAATATTTAAGTCTATCTACACTGTAATTCCTATTTTACTGGGTGACCTGGTTACAGCAAGGTAGCCTCATGATATAGTTGAGCATTAAGTAGATGGGACCAAATCGTGTGTTTTAACTGTCTAACAGTTCTACAAAAGGTCAAAGCTGTGTACAGTTCAGTCCTACTAAATCTTGTTAACAATATCAGCGCTGCTGCGGTGTTCGGGGGGACTGGGTTGGAGTACAGTAGGAGTTCCACTCTCGATGGAACCTTACTGTCTTTGGTAGACACATGATCAATATGGCCAATTATTTTTATTCTGAATTTGGCAGTATTGAGGGGTGGGAGAAGAGCCTATATACTTCTAGAAGTACGTCCAGATGTCTTTATTTACTGCCAAGGAAGTATCCTTGATTGAAGGCCATTTTACTAATAATTGCAGCCCAGAAATGTATAAGCCTGGTGTTTGCATAACTATCATTCCATTGTTGGATGTGCAAGTCTTTGATTCATATGCAGAAAAGCAAAATATGTAAGGAAAAATCTATTCTTAATTTCTATTCCTATTGCCTGTATCATTAGATACTTAAGTAAAACTGTGGTTGTAATGTTGTTTTTTGTACATAGACAAGAATCAACAATGTTCTGACATGAGGTTTGTGCACAGTCAAGTTTTTGCCCTCTTAAAACATCGTTATTGTTGTAGTGTAGGCGGGTACTTAATTAGAACCATGTTCAAACATGAAAGGTGTTCACATATCTTCTGTGGGCAGTGCATACACCAGACCTGCTCATGTAATAAACTGTTTTTACAAAAGTAATCTATGGACCAACTTACTGTGTTTAAAGGCTGTAACATGGCAATGTATCATGCCTATATAAAGACCAGACGGCATTATACCACAAAAAGAAAAGGATTACTTGTGGCACCTTAGAGACTAACAAATTTATTTGAGCATAAGCTTTTGTGAGCTACAGCTCACTTCATCGAATGCTCATGAAAGCTTATGCTCAAATAAATTTGTTAGTCTCTAAAGTGCCACTTGTACTCCTTTTCTTTTTGCGAAATCAGACTAACACGGCTGTTACTCTGAAACCTGTCATTATACCACAGTACATTTTCCAGTGTTGATGCATCCAGTAATATGTTTTGTAATAATTAGGCTTCATTTACAATGGCTTGGGACATCATATTTAGCCCTCCCTGGGAAGAGCCATGTTTAAATAGGTATTTTAACATTTTATTTGAATTTTGTAGAACTTAATGCATTTATAATATCTTATTGAGGAAAAACAAAAAAACATGGTGCAAAAAGGGAAACAATAATTTTATAAAAAAATTCTGTGAAATACTTTGCTTGGATAACTCAGAGAACCATCTTAAACTGGAATGAAGAAACAGAAGAAATTAATTTAAAGTGCATTTTGTTACATATAAAGAATAATTTAAATACAATTGCTGCTAATATGGTTTCAGCTCCACTGTTGAAGAAATAAGCTGTTGCTGTTAGCAACATTAACCATAGATGTATTTATAATAATTCTTTCCTACCATGCTGTGTTCACAAAAGACAAATAAGGAAAGAAATCCTAAAATATCTTAATTTATATTATTGTGGCTAAGATATTGCAGAGGTTTAAGATAGTGTGTAATCTTATGTAGAAGGTATACCACAGTTAGTCCCAATTCCTGGAAGCAGAAATATTTATGCTGTCTCAGGATCCCATTGAAATTAATGGGACTCAGTTCTCTTTCCATGATTGGGGCCTTAGTTAAGGATGGAATGAGAGCTTCGGCTCTGAATTACCTTTCTTGTAATTGTGCTCATGTCTGTCTCTTTGTCTTCTTTTTTTTATTTCCCCCAGCTTGATATAGACAGATGCTTATTTGTGGTTATTTTTAAAAAAATGAGTAAAGCAGTAAAAGGAAGGAGTTAGAATGTAATTTTAAAATATGTTAATGTCTGAAGCAAGAAAGTGAGCCAGTGCTATGTGATATGCCAGCTTGTGCTCCATGGGTTGCTGGTGGTTTGTGGATTATATTTATTTTAGGAAGTAGTGGCCTAATAAATAATCTGCCCTGTATTTTAAAGGTGGTGAACTCAAATTCTCTCTCCTAAAGCGAAAAAAGAAAAAAACACAAAATATTATTAGAAAGAGCCTACTATGAAATAACCAACTCTCAAAGTTAGAAAAAATTATCACATACCTACAAAACATACACCCTCCAAAGTAGGGGGTCCAGGGATAACACCTTGCCTCAGAGACTATCCTTCCCCTTGGCTTCTGGGAAAAGCGGGGATTAGATCCATGGAGAGGACTGTGTAGACTCTACTGACGGGCTCATCATTTTATGTACTAGTCTTGCCTTGTGCTGTATATGTCTCTTTAAATTTAGACCTCTCTTCCTCATCTCTTGCCTCCCAAATTACTGCCCTCGCTGGTGCAGGTCGGGCAGAGAAGTATTAACTTCTTCACATCTTCTGCAATTGCAAGGGAGATCCTATTCTCCCATCCCCTCTCTTCCCACTTTCAGTGAGGAAGGAATTATTTGTTTCTTCTCTCCTTTCTTTTTCTTTTTTTCCTTTCTGATCATGCCATCCCCCACCTGCTACGCCCCAGTCATTCCCATGGCTTCCCTGCCTTCATCTTTTCGAAGCACTGACATAGAACTTTACCAGACTGGTCATTTTCATTCAGCTGCTCAGAAACTTCTAGGTAAAGACTGAAAAACATTGTGCTTAAACAGTTAAACACATCATTATACAGAATTATGTACAGTATGTGATCAGCTGTTCTGACTGCAAAGGCACACAAATATGTTCCAGTGTTTGCTGTTATTGAACCAACACCTTCAGTTTCTCATTAAATTCACACTGACTCAAAGAATGTTCAAACTTAGATACCTAATTACTTTTTTGGACACCTATGTTCCAGTTTAGGAGACTAAAACTGATATTAGGAGTGGAATTTTCAAGTAGATCTTTAGCACAGGCCTACCTCTGTGGAGTTAGGCCAACACTTAGTGCTTTTTGAAAATCCCACGGTAGAGACGGAACTTTAGGCACCCATCTGTGAAAATTTGGCTCATGTCACCACTGTGACTTTAAATAGCTGCACGTAGAAATGGCAGTATTTGTTACCCTGTTTCCAGATGTTTTAAATTTTGTTCAGCATTGGGAAACCTGTGTTATAATTATTGGAATATTTACAGTATTTTCATTTTCAAAGTGCTTTGCAAACTAATTTGCTCAATACACCTCAGAAATAATGTCCTTATTTTACAGATGAGAAAATTTATAGTGACTTGTCTGAAGTCACAGTGAACCAATGTTAGTGTCAACATTTCTGTTTAGGAGTTCCTGGCTCCCAGACTTTGTACTAGGGCCACTAGACCAAACCTGTCTCTCAAAACATTAAATAGATAATAAATTAAGTGGCATTGACAAAATCAGCAGTCATTGTTTTTGTAGGCATTTTGTGTCATTTGACTTCCATATTAAAAAATTAACAGATTGTTAATGATGGTGGAATTTAAGGTACTGTCACCAGTTAAGTATGTAGCTATAATACATGTGTATTTTAAATTTGAGCGGTTATCGGAGTTCTTATTATTTCAAGTGATCTAGTTGTTTGCTTTTAACAGAAAATAGCTTTCAAATTATTTCTTGCCAGCCTCATCTTCTTTGGATAGGTTTCTTATGATATGGAATTTGAGGCCACAGTCCAGAGCTTTCAGATTTGTGGGTCATGTGGAAGCTGTGACCAGTGTACAGTTTTCACCAGATGGACACCTCATGGCATCTGCTTCTCAGGATCGGACTGTTAGACTATGGATTCCCTGTATGTGAGTACAGTATAACTGAAGTATATTGGTTATATTTTTTGATACTGCAATACCAGTATCAGAGAAACTTCAGGTCTGTAGATTATTGCCCCCTTTCCAAACATCAGGTGGACCTGAGGGATAATGGGAGTCTGGGGCAGCTGGAAGCAAGGTTCTTCATTCTCCTTGGTTTCTCCGCTGTTCTATAAAAGTACAGAAATTAGGAAGCCTTAGCTCAAGGCAGGCAAGCATGAGTGGGTGGCAGGAGGAGGAAGGCCTAAATTCATGTGGCAGTGTTTTCTTTCAAACTCAAAGGATACATTTACTTAAATGGGAGTTGTATGGCTAAAATCCAGTGCAACAGTTTGCAATTTGGGGGTAAGTGATGAAATAAGCCAAGACAGCAACTTTTATTCATTCAATCAAAATTTGTCTGTTCCTTTAGAGAAAAATGATAGTGATTTTGAACAAAAAATATTTTAGACATTTTACAGTATTGAGGCTAGTGTTTACCTTCACTCTTAAGATTGTTAGATTATTACAGTACATTAAAATATTTTTATTTCATTAATTAAATCTTCTGAACTAAGTAACAAGTCAAATGCTGGCAAGGCAAAGTACTTTTACATTTTAGAGTTAGTCATCTAGATAAACTTCTGATAGATCAGAAAACTCAGTTTTTCAAAATATCTGTGTGGCTTTGTCTAAAGCCCGTAATCAGGATTTACTAAGAGAGATTGTTCTTGTGTATAGGTGTATTCAGGGAAGAATTAATTTTGATCTTTTAATCAGTGTCAAATGATTATTGAGTTTTATATCCTCTATAAGGTTAATATTATGGAA